ACTAGCTCCTGATTTTTGGATCTTATTTTCTCTATGGTAACTAGGCATTAGTTCCTGGTTAGTGACTCTTTGTTTCCCAGTTAATTATTCACTAGCTCCTGATTTTTGGATCTTATTTTCTCTATGGTAACTAGGCATTAGTTCCTGGTTAGTGACTCTTTGTTTCCCAGGTAACTAGGCATTAGTTCCATAATAAGGTGGGGCTGGGTTTTCCCCAATAACAGCTGGTTAACTACCCATAAGTGCTTTCGTCCTTCTCTAGTAAGTTTGTCTACCCTATTTTAAAGTGGCAGTGGTTATCAATGATTGTTCAGTTAACTTTAAGAAAAAACAACAAAGTAAAATAAATAAAATAAAATAAAAGTCTGCAAAATAGGACATTTTCAAGTATGAGATCATAAAGTTATGCTTGACCAAAACACATAAGTCATCCAGGAGGTTTTTTTCTATTCAAAATGTCAGAAACAGCTGAGTTCAAGGCTTTATAGAGTGGATCAAAGCAAAGCAACTTGTTTTGCCATAGAAACAGTCAAACTGAACCTGGCCAGCGGGTCCGCCCCTGAGGAATGGGGGTCGCTTTGTCCAGTGGATTGTTTTTGTTTTCTTCTTTTTTTCACTTTTTTGGTTCCCTGGTTTATAAATCTCGGTCTTAGAAACACCCATCAGTCGATCCATAACAGCAATAAACACCATCCCGCCAAAAATGATAACATGCGTCCGGGCAGCGTCATAAACTACGATTATACCACCATATACTATAACCAATGAAATATGGGAAGTGTTTCTGGCTTAAATCTTTACGCTTTGAATGTTAGCACAGATTGGAAAAGTATAAATAGCATGTAGTGTTTTTTTTTTTTTTTTGTTTGTTTGCGGGGGGTTTACTGCACATATTTACTGTATACAACCATATAAAGAGCAGAGCAATGATACAAAAAGTTTATCACCAAATAACCGCACAGACAGCTCCTTATTGCTCAGATAGCAGCTTCGATAACCGTCGGTAACCGTTTAAAGTGATGGGAGGGATAAATGAGAGGAACTTACCGAGCAGACAGCCTTACAGCTCATTATAACACTGATAATCTTTCACTTTCGGTATCAGTCCGGACGGTAAGGAAGAGCCTGACACAAACAGAACCAGCTGCTTGAACATTAGAGAGAAAAAAGCTTCAAATCTGGATGAAATGTCTTTCTAGAACTACGCTTTTCTGAGGCGATATTTTACTTCCGGGTTTCACCAAAGAGGGGAAGTTGTTTGGACTACAAACAGGACGACACGGTAAGAAAAGGACAGTTTTTGTTCATTTGGGAGGGATATACCTAAACATTACAGTGCAGAAGGATTTGCCATCCACCAACTTACTAAAGTAAACGTTTTTGTTTTTTTTTCTTTCAAAGAAATTGGGTAAAATAGCAACTGGACTGATCCACCCAAAGATTATGTATAGTTAGACAATATGTAACCTTATGAGCAAATTCTAGTATTTCAAAGGACAGACATGAATAGCAATACTAAAAAAATAAGAAAAGAAACACTCCCCCCCAAACCCATCACATTTAATGTTTACATAAAGTATTGTTGAACAGAGTTAAATATTTCCAGTTAAATTTACATTAAAAAGTTCCATTTATATTCTCCAAATGACCCAAGAGGCTCGACAGACTGAAAAAATATGCAAGTATTTCTTCTTTTATGAGTTTTATTATTATTTATTGAGGTATTTTAAGTTGGGTATTAGAGTAGCCAGAAGTTTTACAAAAGAGAATCACCTTTTTTATAACACTGGTATAATATTACAGCTGCTCAGCTCTGAACTAAAGTACTATTTGATGTTTGCTTATAACAACAGGCTTATTTATAACTTATTGTGGGTGTTTATTATTATTATAGTTATTAACATGTTTTAACCAAACTAAAACAAGAGTTTTATTTATCTAAGAAACTGTTCCCATAACTCAGGCTGTACTAGCAGGGACTTCCCTGAGCGATGCAGTTTTATTGTTTCTCATCATCAGTTTAAGTTTGATTACAGTCAGTCAGGTTTTGTAATTCAATAAAATGTAAATACTCTGGCTGTAAAACTGTTTTTATTTGCATGCTTCTTTAATCCTTTGAATCAAACTGTCCCAAATAGAAAGTACCCAGGTTCAAATGACTACCAAAAATAGTTTTAGTTTATTTTAAAAGGAATTTATCATAAATAAATAAATAAATAATCACTTTTAAAGGCCTCTCAGGAAGCCTTTGTTATTGCTACATAAACAATCATATCAGTGCTGCATGTGTCGTAACTTTATGTGTTTATAACATATATACCAGGAATGTCCTTAGCTCATTGTGGGGTTATAGGGCATTTTTAAACATGTTTTACACTCATAAAGAGCTGTGAATGTAAAACTGCGCACCTTGAATTAATTATTTAATAACTTTACTTCTCTTTAAAATGCCATTAAAAATATAAATTTGAGATATTTCAATATTATGTATAATTAATGCAGTATAATTGATGCAGAATTATCTTTATCTATGATTCTAATTACATTATATGTATGATTTAGTGGTTTGTTTTTATCATATGCATGGAAAGCATGGTGTTGCATATGAAAACACATCCAGAGACAACAATAGTGAGAAAATTCTCTTTTATTTTTACCTTTGGGGTGCTTTTAATGGGTTTTTCCAATTTTCAGGGTCATGCAATGTGGGACCTTTTCTCTCATGCCTACCCCACACCAAATCACTCATAACACTATGACTACTGACAGATAACTATCAGAATTTCTTTAAAAGCTTTGGCAACATATATCCTTTTCAACAAACCAATTAAAATACAAACAATTCTGTTTGGTATAAAATCTCTATTTATATCATTTTAGTATTCTACTTTTTTTTTTTTTTTTTTCAGAATCACCATGAACATTCAGGAACAGGATTCACCAGCCAAGCAATATGACCCACTTGACCAAACGCTGAAGTTTGTTAACAGGGAAGACGAAGTTGTTCCAGGGTGTAAGATTAATTTCCTTTTCTGTGACTTGAACATAATGCAATGTTACATGGAAAACTGGCCCAAGGCATTTAGGTAAAATAATCAGCTGATAAGGGCCCCAAAAATCAACAGAAGAAAATGCTAGAGGACTAGATTAATCACACAAAGCTTTTTTTTTTATTATTTTATTACCTGGGATATTCAGTTATACTACAGTAATTATAATAGTTCAGTTAAAAACTGAGCTATTATAATTACTTTTCTAAAGAGAGACCAGTGAACCATGATAGTAAGTAGTACAGCCAGTAAAACACATGACTGTATATTTGTGTTGTGTAAGATTTCTGACTTTAATATATTAGTCTAGATGTTTTTTTTTATTTTCACTAAAATCTATTTTACTATACAGTCAAACTACAGAAGTAAAATGTGAGGATAATTAAGGTTAAATGAAGTGTATAACTCAGTGATATTTTAACCTGGGTGAGATAACAGGGTATTAGCTAAGCTGTGGTCATGAATGGTATGTGGAACAGCCTCATTTAAACTCTTATTTCATTTGCATGAATATCTGATGAATGATTTTGTCTTGTCAGCCTCCGATTCTTCCTCTCTCAGAGCTGAAATGTCCTGCGGCCATGCAGTCACCCCTGATTCCCTAACAATTTGGTGTAAAAACTTGCTGAAGCAAGTAAGTTCCAGACAGTTCATGCATACTTTAAAAAGAAAATATGGTCTCTTTCATCAGAGATGGAGTGAGGGAATGAAAGCTAGGTGCTTGACTTTAAGATAACTGGTTCTTTTTAAATTGGCATATGAACTCAAAGCATGGATTTTTTTGGTTTCTTTTTTTTTGTCAGTTTGGCACAAAGAAACTCCTCATTTAATATATATTTAATCAGAGTTTTTGTCTCTTTTATTTGATAAATAAAATAGATTTCTATCCCATTTATTTCATAGAATTGTGAATTTCTGAAAATAACAACATAATAGGTAAAAAAAAACAAAAAGAAAAAACATTTGTTGTTGTTTTGTTTTATGGCTAGAGACACATTGTATACTAATTAGTCACAATTAAGTTCAAGCTAATTCCAGATTAAGAAGCAAAGAGCTGACTACATGTACCTCTGGTCTGTTTTGTTGCTTTTATGTTTAAGGGGCAAAATAAGTTCCGATGTCCTGCAGTGGTGGAGGGCACCAAACAGTGCAATAAACTGTGGTCGTACCAGGAAGTGCGCAGACTGGCTGATCTCAATGTTGATGAGATGCTGTATTTTGAGCAGGAGATGGCCAACCTGTCTGTTTCAGAGTACTGTGAGGTTCAGTCGGTGAGTCCAGTAATCTGCAGCACTTTATAGAACAGGTTTCCTTTTCTAAATTAGCCAAATACTCTATGTTCTCATCAGTGTCCAAAGTGTAAAACCAGCGTGGAGAGGGAGGATCCATCCAACCTGTGTGTCCAGTGTGTGGTCTGTACAGCTGACCAGAAGGAGATCTACCAGTTCTGTTGGCAATGCTTAAGAGACTGGAAAGGTCCGGGGCCTCGATCCGATCGCTGCGACAATGCTGACTGCATCAACAGGGACCTCCAGCTCCTGCAAACCTGCAAATCCATCAGCCTCCCTGATGTGGTGGGTGTGAGCAGCTGCCCCTCAGTCCGAGCCTGTCCTGTGTGCGGCGCCAAGGTGGAACACGACCAGAAGTACTGCAAAAACGTGACGTGTCCTCGCTGCCAGACCACGTTCTGTTTTGTTTGCCTGAAGCTAAAGACTGAGTGCATTAAGACCAGTTCGCCATATGAGATGTGTCGCAGCGGTGTGGCTCCGAGACAGACCTACATCCCTGTGTGGAGGAAATGATGGCAGGAAAAATAAACTAGAATTATATAGGAGAGTTTTATCTAGATCCAAACATCAGAAATGTTCAATTCAATGCTAAATAGACTGGTATGTAAAGAAAATATATGTTTTCTGGGGGTACATTTCATCTTTAACAGTTTACTTACAATACATTTATCTAAATAACATGTTAAATTACTTAAAAGTTTACATAAATAAATTGTTTAAAAATGTTGAGCATTAAGTTGTATTTCTTATCTGAAAGGTTATTAAATCTCAGGCTTCTTGGGTCACAGGTATACTGAGAGGTTTGCTCATATTTCTAATTTTTAAAAGCTTAACTAAGCTGTTAGAAATTATGCAAAGTAATATGCATCTTACATCTTCTTTAGCTCAGATCTTTTATTTTTTGGCGTATTATTTTTAGTCTTTAAACTTTTTCAAGATGTAATTTTATTAACTGTATTCTCTTATAGCTTCTTTTGTCTGGAGATCTTTATAGAGACTCAAAATAGAGGCCTATGGAGCCTGGATCACTGTAAAACAAACTGATAAGAAAAAATATTTTATTATAACAAGCATTTGACTTCTAAACTCCCCATAGTATAGCTGTTTTTTTTATTGTGCTATCTTGTAATATTTTTGTGTTTTTATTATTATTATTGTTTATTACCAAGCACCTTGTCACTTTTTTGTATACTATACTACATGTTTTGTTTATCTTCTGTGCTGCTCAAATGAACTGCCCCTGGTGGGATTAATAAAGTGGTCTAATTCTAAATCTAAACATTGGACACTAGGATTGCAGCCTCTGCTTTTAAAGAGACATAAACCAAAGAGACAACTTCCTTTTACTCTGAAGGAAGTTCTGGGAACCTATCCAATCATCTGAAAAACTAACAGACCATGTCGTGGTGTGTATGGCTCGGGTAGGGTACTGTAGTCCAAGTAATTAAACTTTTCCACCTTGCAAAACTTTGCTTTAGTGTGCTGGAAAAAGGCCTCAAGAATAATTGTCAAATTTAGGGGCTAATTAGATGACTTTACCTTCTAGAATAGACGACTAAAATCTAAATCTGTAGAATTGTATGACCCGTATCCACCGTTGTGATTAAGAAGATTGCAAACCAGTAGCCGCCATGTTGTTAAAGAGCCAAATTTTTTGCCTTTTTATGATACGTTATTGGTCAATTGAACTCTAACAAATTAAAAAGAATGCCACCTTAGATAAGAGGTTATGAAACCCTCCAAAGGTGTAATTGAAGAAAGCTACCATGGTTGAAGTTGTGTAAGAGTAAAAATCTGATCAGTGTTTATTAAATCAGGATCACAGTCTCTTCACATGGCTTTCAGTAAATGGCTGTGAAATGGGAAACATACATATTTTAGCAATAGGCTAACACACAAACAAATACAGTTCCTGTTCTCAAAGACAGGTTTTCTACAGGTTAACATGAGCCTCTGGAACCACAGTGCTGCGCCTGACCATGCAGATCCTACACTTCCTGTACCAAACCAGCAGGACCACCAAGAAACATGCAGCAGCACTGAAGAAGAGAATTAAAGCCTGTGTGGGTGATCTGAGAGGAGACCAGATGGTGGCATGGGCTAAAATCCCATCAGGGTTGCTGTAGGAAGACCAGAAAAGTTTGTTCAGTAGAAGCGGCCTCTCCATGTAGAGCAGACAGTCTATCTGAGGTCATACTTGCCATGTGGAGCGAACAGACGCCGAGTTTCCATCTTCCACAGGAGGAGAAACATCAGGGTAAAGACACAACCGCCTGTCAGGGCAAAACACTTCCCCTTGATATCCTTCAATCTGACAATATAAAAACACACATGTAATGCAGATTTTGATTTACATTTATCATATTGTACTTTTAAAGTGTTTCCAGCTCAGTATACAGTTAAAGCTAAATATCTCAGTGATAGCACATCTTGTGATTTCCATATATAAATTTTTTAATGTCTTTCATTCCATAATGAACTAAAGAACAAAATAATATTTTCTATTTTGCAGGAGCTGTTTTAAGCATATATATGAGATTAACGAGAAAAAGCTTTAATCTCTCTAGCTTCTAAAGTTTTATCTTAGCATCCTGGATATAAACTTCAGGACCAAGTTCTGCCTGATGATGACCATTTTCTAACTTACCGTACTTGGATTTTAACTTGCGGTTCATCTAAAAGTCTTTGAATAAAGGTTTTTAACTCACTGTCTGTGTAAATTCATAAAGTTTCAGTTATCAGAACCTTTCAGAACATCCTTCTGCTTGCTGGATTCTTGTTTTTGCTGAGTGTCTTTGCAATACAGCTTAACTCTCCCCAACAGGTTTTGATCATTAAGAAAATAGTTATTTAAGGTAAGTTAATGCTAAGGTTATTTTGGTTTTTAACAATAGCTGTTTGAAGTCACTCATCTTTTTAAAGCGCATCTGTTTAATGGATTTGCTTTGGCTGCTCAGTGGGGCAGTCGGTAGCACTGCTGCATTGCAGCAAGAAGGTTCCAGGTCCATTCCAAGCCCGGGGTCTTACTACAAGGAGTTTGCATGTTCTCCCTGTGCATGCATGGGTTCTCTCCGGGTACTCCGGCTTCCTCCCACAGTCCAAAAACATGAATTAATTGGTTTCTCTAAATTCTCCTTAGGTGTGAGTGTGTGCGTGAATGGTTGTTTGTCTCTGTGTTGCCCGGCGATAGACTGGCGACCTGTCCAGGGTGCACCCTGTCTCCTGCCAATTGACAGCTGGAGATAGGCACCAGCACCCCCCAGCTGGGAGAAGCGTGACGGAAAATGGATGGATGGATTTTTAATAGAGTTATAGTAATGTTTGGTCCCACATCTGTTGAATGTTTTCACTGGGTTTTAGATTATAGATGAAATCTAAAATATTAGTTTATTAACTTCTTTTCTGTTTTATGTATTTTAGTGTGACTCTATGGGCTAATAGGCAGAGCTGCTTTCATTATTCTTCAGTATTTTAAAATGGGGACATTTAATATGTGGACATTGTGCTTAAATTAATGTATTGTCATAATTGTATTGATTTTGTACATTTTTCATTTGTGAAAAAAAATTATTGAATAACTGGCTACCACCTGAAAGTACACATTCACTTAATAAATTAAAGGTATAATGGAGGATATTCTTTTTTCCAGGGGAATCATCAAAATAAGTGGCCCTTCTAATTGTCAATCATTCTGGTGATAAGTTTATGTAAGGCCGTCTGATGTGCTCCTTATTTTCACTTACCGGTGGAGAGTCTGACATAGTGGAAAACTTCAAATCTTCTTTTGGAAAGTAAGCTTGTAGGAGCGATGCAAATAGCAACTCTTAAACAGCATGTGCATGAGGAGAAATGGGCTCGTGCACGCTCTGGCACGGGTTTAATAGGCGTTCCCTCTCCGAAGCGCGTGCAGAGTTGTGCATGTACTCTTTTTTTATTTTTTTTTAAGTGGAGGACGCTCTTTTCAGTAATTCCCAAAAGTCCCCCACTATCCCTTTAACTTTATATCTATTAAATATTAAAGGTCATATATTAGTTTTTAAATAAAATATTTTTTATAACATTAAATGCTTTAATTTATCACAATAAACTATTTTTATCCATGTAATACGAAATGCAATAATTCAACTGTGAGTTTTTACAAGTGTTTTAGGTAAATACATTTATTAATATTACATTGACTTATTTCATGCTACATATGTTTATTTAATGGGATTTTCACATTCTTATGTGTGATATATTTCGGCCTTCTATATACCTCAGAAACCACATCACTATGATTGTAAAAGAAAACACATCTCACCCACTTCTAGAACCTCTGAATAAAAAAATGACAGCAGTCATATTACCTGAATGGCTCCCCCTGCTGGACAGTCCATCCACTCAGAACCAGATACCTGGATCTGGTACCTGTTCAGTCCAGAGCACCTGTGTTTGTAACAGCGACCCTCAGCAGAGTTACCGATCCGAACAGTGCTTCCCTGGTCCACATGAAAGACAAAAGAAAATGCTTCTGAGAAGTAATACATCTTCTTTTCTCGTTTACAGTCAGTGAATCTGGAACAATCTAGGAAATCTCTCTAAAATACCATCAGCTGCCCTCCAAGTATGCATAAAGGGATAAAAACAACTGAAACAGAAGCTGGTGGGGGTTTTTTTATTTCTAATTTATAGGACAGATCTTAGATTTGTTGTTGCAGTTTCATTTTGTTCTCCATAAGTCATTCAATACTGTTTTATTTTATCCCTGTTTTACAAATGCATATATCTGGAATATTATTGATTGAATAAATATCAAATAAAACATAGAATGCAAACATATATACCTTATTGTAAAGTTAAACCTAAAACCAAGTTTTAAACATTTAATAAACAACCTGATAGAACTCAGTTTATATCTCTTATTTTTCTTTAAGGTTTTAAGACAAAGGATTATAAAAATATTTAGACTCCTTGAGCTTTTCTGCATTTTTTACATTACAACCACTAAAATAATGTATTTTATTGAAATGTTATGTGAAAGACCAACGCAAAGCGGTATACAATTGTTAAGTAGAAAGAAAATTATACATGATTGACTTTTTTTTTTTTTTACAAATAAACTGTAAAAGGTGCAGGACTAAAACGTAATGGTTTAAAAAAAAAAGATATTCATGTGTTAGAAAGTCCAGAACAAAAAACAAAAAAAGCATCTGTGTCAAGATCTGAACACTGCTGTTAAAAAAATCTTCTCCAACCAATCTGACCGAGCTTGAGACGTTTTGCAAAGAAGAATGGGCTGAAATATCAGTCATTAGATGTGGAAAGCTGGTAGAAACCAACCCTGACAGATTTGCAGTTCTAACTACAGCAAGGTGGTTCCACAAGTATGATTTAGGGTGACTGAATTTTTTTTTTTTCACACCTTTTTCAGTTTCTTGTGTAAGAAAAAAAAGTTTCTACCTCCCAACTATATAGCACTTTGTGTTGGTCTTTCTTATACAATTCCATTAAAACATATTCACATTTTTGTTTGTAATGTACAGAAAGTCCAGAGGTGTAAGTATTTTTGCAAGCTGTTGTATATAGATAGAAAAATGAATTCAACACACCTGTTTGATGAGGCTAGAGAAGAAGCAGCGGCTGTCGAAGCCAAAAACCTCACCACTCCAGTTTTCTGCATCGTTTTTGGAGTTTTCTTCCTTCCAACATTCACTCTGGGAACAAAGAAAAATAAATCAGAACAAATCATGAGAGTTCCAATCCAGCACACACACTTTGATATAATTGGCTGATTTTCAAAGGGAAATGATCTAAATACAATGAAAGGAAAACAACCCTGAGCTACAAACGTTGCTTATTGTCAGAACTTACTCTGTTCTCCAGGGGTTTATAGACCCGACAGCCTTCCAGGTACTGATCCGTCTGACACTTCCCCTTGTGGAGGTGAAGGAAGTGACATCCGACTCCACTAAAGAGCAATGATAAAAACATGCTTGAACAGAATGGATAAACTGTGTTCCTGCTTCAGACAGATCCAAGGTTAGAGATCTACCTTCCAGTACAGAAAAAGGATGAGTTGTCCTTGCAGGTCGACAGAGAACCAAATGAGGCTCCTTCACCTGAAAACATAAACTGTGTTCAACCTGGATCCACCTGTAGATCTGTACGATGGATCTCAGCCTCTCCTCTTACCGTCTCCCCAGACCAGACTCTGGGCCTGGCTCAGGTTCACAGAGTACCATCCTGTGTCCTGTAACGCCGCTAATGTGACTGGGTCGATCCGGACTGTGGATGGGTCTCCCAGCGCTGCCGCCATGATGGACCCCTGCAGGACCCGGGACTCCCAGTGAGAGGAAACCTTTGCTTCATCCTGGAGAACATAAAAGTTAAAGTGAGGCATGGAGCATTATGGGTCAACATACACTGGTCTGAACTTCTCAGTACCAGGTTCTCCAGCGGTCCTCCCAGCTCAGGGTCAGCAGACATCAAGTGTCTCTGCAGCGCTGAGATGATGGTCGGAGTGTAAATCCTCATCTGTCCTAAACTGTCTGAGTGAATCACCTTATTCCAAGGAGAACAGGAGGCACCTTTACTCCAAAGAGACAAAACAGAAGTTTTTGTAATAATTATCAGACCAATGGAGAAAAAAAAAAAACACAACTACATTAGATATAATTTTCCCTCCAAAATCAAAGGAGCTAAATTTTTAAGGATGTGAGGAAACAGCCTGAAAACCTTGATTGGAGGATGAACAGTCTTGCCAGGAGTTGAAGAGATCCTTAGAGAACCCAAGAGCATGAAACATCTCATGGATCACAGTCTGGAGAGCAGATTATCAAACATGTCATAACCACAATCACTAAACCATCAGACTGATCATTTCATGGGATTAGAGCTCAAACCATTCATCATTTTATTTAAACCTGGACTGTAGTCTGGTGGCTGTAAGCGGCTCCAGTCAGCCTGTCCCTGCAGAGGACCACCACAGCGGCCACAGGTCGTCCCTGGGTGTCCGTCTGGCAATGGGCAGCGTAGGCGAGGATGCTGGACTGAGAGAACAAAGAGTATTAAATTTGCACTTTTATTAGTAAGCCATAACATCTTAGACACTTAAGTATGAAGGCATTTAAGCTCTATTTAATAAATCAAATATATAATTGCTATGCAAGTGAATCCATGCTACCTAAAATCTAACATTCTGTTAGATGTTGATTACAATCCAGAAGCTAAACAAATAGTCTAAATTAAAGTACAGAATGCTTGCATGTGTCTGTGAAATGATCAAACATAAATATGATCAGAAGGATCATGGATCTTAACCTCTGCTCTACATTTATCAGTGGCTTGTACATGGATGTAAACCAGGAAGTCTGTGTCGGGAAGCCCGGCTCCTCCAGGTCTGACAATGGTCCTCAGTGAAGAATTGGCCTCTGGGTAAACCTCACAGCCAGACAGATGCTCATCTGGGATCTGTTTGTGCAGAGGGAAGGTTAAAACAGCTGGAGTATCAGGTCTGATAATATCTAAGAGAAAAACAGATGAGTTATTGAATTAGAAAAATAAAAACTCTGCTTACTGTGACATCCAGACAGGTTTCACCTCTGTAGTTTTTGTTGGCTTTTCCACATCTGAGATAAAAGAAAAAGGTTAGTGAATTAAATTCATTAAATCAAAAAGGAAGTCAGTCCTTAGGGGCTGGTGTCCCGCATGTTTTGCACGCTTCAGATGGTTCAGCATAGGATAATCAAACACTCTGGGCATGCTGTAGCCTCCTGCAGAACTTGACGACAGGCTGAGGAGGAGATTTATGCACTAAGTCAGTTGGAGAAGCGATCAATCTGAAACTTGCAGGACCTTTGCTGCTTAAAAATGGAATTGCCCAACTCTGCTTTGTGTCAACAGCATTAGCTCCTCTGAGGCTTTCCACTGGGCGCCTATCAAATCTCTTTCATGGATGTTCCAAAAAAGGTTAAAAAAAACAATCTACTGGACTTTGTTTCCAAGTTTGAAGATGTTTTGCTTCCCATCCAGAAAGCTTTTTCAATTAAAAATGTAAGAAATAGAGCTGAGTTCGAGGTTTTATACAGTAGCTCAAAAAGGCTTGTTTTTGTTTAGAAAACATGCAAATTGAAGCTGACGAATGGGTCCACCCATTTGGAATGGGGATCGGTTGGCTTCTTAGTTACCCTGCAATGACCCATACTTGTCTATATCTCTGAAAGGGGGGTCGTTGAAGGGAATTGTCGGCCTGGCTGAACAGGTGAGGTCTTCTGTTCCTATGTAAAGGGGTTGGGGTTGCGATGATAGTAGGAAGGGATCAACTCTGTTGCTGTGTTGTAGGTTTTTGAAAGCTGAAATCTGAGTCTGCTCTCTCTGATTAAGGTTGTTTTTCTTCATGCCCCTTCCAAACCACCTTTTTTCTTTTTCCAAAATGTGAACATTCTGGTCCTCAAAAGAATGTCCTTTGTCCATAATGTGTAGATGCACCGCACAGTCTTGTCCCGAGGAGGTCACTCTTCTGTATTGGGCCATGCATCTTTCATGGATGGTTCATCATCCTGGAGAACATATCTCAGATGCTTTAAAGTCCAACACCGGTGCTCTATGCTGATCGCACTGGAATTCACTCAGAAAGACCCGTTCTTCCATAGATGCTTGCAGAAGAGAATCACCTGGATCCAGTTTCTTTATCGAAAATAGAAATTGCTGCTGGTTTTTGTTAGAGAAAAAGAGCAAACTGCAAATACAAACCTGTTGTAGTTCAGCAGGCTTGAGTTCCTCCAGACAAACTTGCAGTATTTATTGATGTCTCTGCTCAGCAGTAATGTCCCTACGGTTCTGTTCACTAACAGAAGGAAAAAGTTAGTTATCTTTATAAGTGCGGAATGTTAAAGTGTGTTTGTCTGATTTTTACCTGAAAGTAAAGAAGACACTACCCTCACAGCCTCTTCCACAGCTCTCCCCAGCCTCTCTTTCTCAACTGTAGGAAGAGGGTAACTTTCTGTAGTAGTCCAGGTTTTTATCCTGATTGGCTGCAAAAGGTTGGAGGGAGGATGGACTCCATCTTCTAGGATGCTCCTCTCTTTGACCCCCAGTCTGGTTTGATGTTCAGGGGTCAGCTGGAGCTTCTGCTCGGTTGTTGGTCTGACTCCAGCCTGCATGGAAGCGGCTCTAACTACTCTGACCTGAGCCTGAACTTGATCAAAAATACAGCCATGTTGGGCTGCAGGCATCTGCAACCCTGTTAACACCAGCAGAGCCCATACCCAGATTATCTGGGGTTGGAGGAGAGGAAAGAATGAAAGATAAGTTAGTTTGGGCTTAATTATAAGAACAATGTGGATGTAGCTTATTATATGCTAAGAATAATAAACATTCAGCAGGATTTTAAATAAAGATTTATAAATAAAATACAAATTACATTTCAGAACATACAGAATAATTTATATAGATTTACCAAAATAGCAAATCCCCATTCGTAAGTTAATGGTTTCATTTATATTTATACAAAAATCCTCTTAAATTAAATCTTAAGAAATCAATGATTAATAAGGAAATTATGTTTAACTAGAGACAAGATAGCTTTTCATTTGTTTTGTCTTTTTTAATAATGTAAGTTTGTTTGATGATTTCTGTTGAAAATGGACCCAAGAAAGAAAAGTCTGTACTCTCAGACCAATGGTGACCCTTAAATACGGTACATAAAATAAGAAAAATCTCTAATTTTGTGCTTTGTAAATTAAATTAGCCTGTTACAGATTCCCTACTTTTTAATAACAGCTTATATTTTATTTTTTAAATAGGCTATTTTCTGATTTTATGTATCTAATTTTTATATTAATCTTATTTATTTTGCCTTTTAACAGGAGCACTTGGGATTACCCTGCATAGATATGAACGGTTTCGTGTAAATAAACTTTGAGCACTGAGCTAAAGTGAAACATAGAGGAGGCAGCAGCATCCTGTGGGAATCCTCAAAGCAGGACATAGAGAAATACCGAAAAAGGAGGCTGTAGAAGGCTTCATATTGACTCATGAAGATGTAAAACATTATGCTTTGTACTTTTGAGGAACCCGCTTTTGGCTGTTGTTGTGTAAGCAATACTGAATAACCAGAAGTAAATAGAACTGAAAAAAAAAAGTAAAACAAAAAAGAAATATGACCCTATATATATAATGCAACAGTTCTGCAAAAATGAGAAGTTTATTTTTTATGGGAGGGCCCTACACTTTAAAACCCAAGTAAAAAATCTAGAAAGTCCAAACTGTCACCTCTTGTTTTGCCTTGAACTATGCATTAGCAATGTTTCCCTGTGAAAGCCTTGGTGTAAAATGCTGGAACTCATATGAATGTTCCTGCAAATGAGCTCAAATGTTGCTTAAATTAGGTTCCATCTATTGTTTTATTAGCTAAATGAAGTTTGATGGATGCAGTAATGCTTGCATTAAAAGAGAAAAGACAGAGATCCCTTACCTGGGTTTTGATTGCAACATCCTCTGCTCCACATGGCTTCATTGCTCAACTTAAAGCAGGAAGTTTCTTCTGACTACATCTATTTCTCAACAGAGCTACTCTATGAGTTTGTTTGTGTTCATTTCCACAGGATCCCTGAATACAAAGAACAAAGCAGCAACTCTTTCAGGTAATACCCGCCCCCCCATGCCACCCCCAATAAACAAACACCACACAACACTTAAAAGTGCAAATTGTTTAATCTCAGCCACATTTTTACTTATATACAGTGAGGTTGACCTTATTAAAGGCATAAAACCACTTTATTTATTTACCTAAATACATAGCAAATTTTAAAACTTCTGGCTACTCCACATCGACCCTAATACATTCAACGAAGCAAAAGTAAATTAAAACACGAAAAGAACTTAAAGGAGAAAAAAACAAAAACAACAAAGATCTGTAGTTTTCTGAAATTAAAAAACACCTTAAAATGCACGATAAGAACGTGAATGGCACACCAAAAGTCTCCTGTGTCAGAAAGCAATCTGGTCCTGTAAGATTTTAAGGTTATCTGGAGAATTTCGGGGGTCTCTTCATAGCCAGGGGGGAGGGGGGGGGCACTTCACACCACACACACGGGAAACTAAACCAGGCACCGAAGAGATTGTCATCATAAACATTAACTTTGTGTTGCTTACATTCACCCACTCACTTCAACAGGTTTGCACTAAAACAATATTTGAAAAAGATTATTGCCAGCTTGCAGAGTACGCATGCATTATTTTTTTTTTTTCCTAAAAGCTATAACGAAGCCACTAAGGTGTTGATACGTGCATCCACGTGAAGCAAATACGAGCCTGTGTGTGTTTCTGTGTGCAGTGTGGATTCAGGACGTCTTGATTTACTTAAAACTGTCTACAGGAAACTCCTTAAAAGGCACTTTAAATAGATGGGGAGAGATTTTTTTTTTCTGCTAATGTGTTTCAGCTAACCTCAGATTCGGGTGCGAGTGGCAGAAGTACGCAGACAGTTCACATATTGGCAATCGCGCCGCCATCGACGATTAAAATGCAGTCCCACAGATGCGATGATTTCAGTCCGACAGTAACCTGCCTCAGTAGCTGGATGGGGGGGGGGAATCCTTCTGTGCAAAAGTCTCCCTTCTCTGCGCAGCCGAGATTTATTTCCCTTAGTGCACGTCTAAAACTAATCAACATCTATGGCCGTCATCTACATCTTTAAGGGAGGTTCTCATAAAGAGTCCGAAAATTGATTTAAAGTGTCGACAAGTCAAACGATTTAAAAAGGCACCAGATGTGCACAAGGAGGATGAGTCTTACTGAGGGAGGGGGGTCGGGGCGCTCCTGTGCTCAAAGTCAGATGTGGAAAGACTGGGTTTCATTTGTTAAGAGTGAGGGAGGGGGGAGGTGTGAGGAAGTCATTCAGGTGAGCATGGGAACATCATCCTCTGAGGTGGTTTCCTCAGACAGCGGGATTAGTAGCACGTCGTCATCTGAAGAAGAGGAGGAGGAGAAGGAGGGGGAGGCAGAGAGAGGCATGTAGTTGGTGGAGGAGGAGAAGGGGGAGGCTCTGAAGCGGGACATACTCAGGCCTATTGTGTGGAAGATGGAGGCCAGGGAGGGGCTGCTTGGGGGTACGGTGACAGGAGGAGTCTGAGGAGCAGACGCAGTGGGGGCTGGGGGAGCGTACGGAGGGGGTGGAGTGGAGAGGATGGGCGGCGGGGACAGCGGCAGGAGAGAGGCGGGAACTTCCTCCCACGCCGTCATCTGCTGCTGCTCTGCCTGGGCCAACAGGCCAAGTTTCTGAGGCACCGGCTGGTTGACCGCCTCCACGGCCGACGAGGATCTGGCGGGAGAGGACTGGGTCGCTTCCTGGTTGGAGGAGGCGGAGTTCCCCTCCTGCTGGTTGGAGCTGGAGCTCTGATTCTGCCGGCTGGAAGTTCTGGGGATGAGGCCCCACCTCCGCATGCGGCGAATGGCCCGGCGGACGAAACGCGGCCTGCGTCTGCGGTGCGGCGAGCTGGAGGTGTCCTGACGGAGGAGCTGGAGGATTCCCCTCAAAGAAAGAGACGCAGCCTGGCAGAGGAGAAAACAGACACGCACCGTGGTTAAAAACACAGCAACAAAAGAACCTAATTCCATTTTCTCTATTCTCCAAACATTGATGAGCAAGTTAGAACACTGCTATGGGTTTAATCCACTGGAAGACCCCACCTCCTCCAACCACTTATCTCCACCAGAAATAAGCACATATCATCAAATTATGCTTTATTAACAGCATAATGAGGATAAATATGTCTGTGCAGTAAAAAAATAAAATTAAATAAATAAAAGTAGATTATAAACATAATTTAAACTAAGCTAACATTACATCATTATTTTTTCTGTATTCTAAAAATCTTTCCATTAGCTGTTAGCTAAAAATCCTCATAACAGGAATAAATGCTTGAAAACATCCATGAATTTTTAATTAATTCATTATGTTTTTTCAACTTTTCAATGGTATTCTATATTAAAAAACTGCATATAAATATATACAGTCAGAAAATGTGATATTGAGGAAATACACATATTCTGAATGATTTTTCTTTTTCTTCAATAAGAAATGATTTTGTGAGTTTTTCAGATTGACCTGTTTACAATCTAAATACATTTCACTTCTTGCGGGCTGCTATCCTGCAACTTTTAGAGGTGTCCTTGGTTTACACACCTAAATCAAGTAAGTAGTAATTAAGGTTTAGAGAACATAAATGCTGATTTATTAATTCTGAGTCAACGTGAGTCATAGAAGCCCTTCAGCTTTGTGTTAAAATGGATTGGTTCCTCCCCAGTATCGCCACAAGATAAGGAATACAGACAGATTTGTAACAGGATTGATAATTTTGACTGTATGACCTGGTTCAACTGTAAAGTGCCTTGAGATGACATGTGTTGTGAATTTGGCGCTATATAAATAAACTGAATTGAATTGAATTGAATAATTTTGGTTATTATTTCACAAAAAACTATTAGGAAAACTTACTGATTGATAGCTTGTACTGGAAATGATAGTTCTGTTGTTAGCCTTGTGAAAAGTGTTTCTATTAATCTAGAGCCTGTTTCACCCATATTCACTTAAATCATATGTATCATTTATAGATGTTGACGTTACCAGATCAAAGAAGAGTAAGCAACCTAAATATCCTTTTCTGCCATCATAATGGGTGGTGAGTATGAGTAGATGTAGTCTTACAAATACTTACCTCTTTACATCTGTATTTATTGTATGTATTGCACTGTGTATAACTGTGCATGTAACTAGTATACTGTTTTATCCATCTCAAACATATTCTTTCATATTTTTAGTTAATGCTAGGTAGAAGCAGAGCAGGATATGATATTGAAGATCTGTTATCTATTTTTCTGCAATTTAGTATTGTTCACTGATATCTAGGGCAATGCTAGTGTTAGCGGCTAACTTCCCTTGAAATAGTCAATTAAACTGATTTTAACTGTATTATGAAACAGTAATGGATTGTATGTAATAACAAATGTTATTTAATGGTTTTATTTGACTGGTTTGGACTTTAGTAGACTGTGTTTTTTTAGTAGATGAACTTAGCACCTTTACCTTTTAAAGTCCCTTCAGTCTGTATTTATTGTGACCTGGTCATATTTAATAAAAGTTGAATAGAGCATTGGTTTCAAAAGTTGGGGCCGTGGCCCGGATCAACAAGTATGGGGTCTTGAGATCCTCTATAGAAGTTACAGACAGAACTGAAGGAGGATATTTAAGTTTTTAAAGACATTAAAACATCACTTAGAAATAAATAATCAAACCCATAGTTTGGGTGATGAAAGCATTCTGAATAGTGGCCATGTCAAACAGTTTTAATACCATCAGGTAATAATCAACTAAGACAGCTTGAGAAGCTTGATCAGGTCCAAAACAAATGTTGATACAAGACATATATGATGTGTGTTGTCCTGCTCCCTGACCTCATTGGGACTCTCTGTGGGGAAGTCCTCCACTGGAGGGATGATGCCCTGGGCGATCAGCTGGCCGTAGGACGGAGGAGCCTGCTGCTGGATCATCTGGGCTTCCATACGGCTTATCGGAGCAAACATGCTGCAACAAGAAAAACCACAGGAATTTTAGGAGGAGTTCTACGATGGCATCGAAGTTTAACCTTTATTTCATTTATGCTTTAGAGGTAAACAAATCAGAAATCACAAAAAACTGTCCCTTTAACTTTGTTTACTAGCGTTCTAAGATGTAATTTCGTGTTTGTGCAGCTCCCCTTTTGCGTAGCTAAGATTTTGGTAGCTCTGATGATTTAGTAAGGCATGCTGTACATTTTTATAAGCATACTCATCCAGCCCCGTGGGTCTGACAGGCCTACACATGACGCACTTCTCCCGTATTTCTTCAGTGTTTGACTGCAGTGTACTGAGAAAGCTGGGAGGTTTAACCAGCGGCTCTACTGGAAAGCTAAATGTGAATCACCTGATTCAAATGATCAACCTGAACATTAAGCATCAGAAATTATCTTTCAGGTCAAATAAAAACAAATTACCTAGCTTAGTCAAATTTAAAAAAAAAAGAATCACACAAGGTTCCCTCACAGTTAAATAAAAAAAATCTTTGCTTTCCAGGATGTATTTAGTACTCAGATTTTTTTCTGAAATATTTATACTAAAGCTTATAATATTTTATTTATGTTAAATAATAAATTATTATTAAACACCTCACCAGTGTTTTCTTACTCTAAGCTAAAGGTCTTTCATTCTCATCTTTCCATGGTGGTTGTGGTATTTTGGTGATAATAAGCAGTGCCTTTCAACCTCCAATCATGTATTATGGCTTTAGAAAAGTTTCATTTAGGTCTCATATAACCACATAAAGTTCTCTTTAGAGTTTTTCTTAAATTTGATTTTATTTCTTAGCCAGACAAGATATTTTATCTGGGGAAAATTTTATTTAGAGACTAAAACCTCCCATAGAATAGTTTCACATGTACGCCATGAATTCACAGTAACTAAATATGTTTAAAAAGAGCAATAAACAACAAAATCTTTTTTAGATCTCTCAATTTATTCAAATATCTGATTTAATCAATAAAGCTGTTCCTGAGTTATTATGTTTTACTCTTTTCTTGTGATTTTTGCAAAGTCACAATGGGGAGGATAGGGCACTTTATGAAACGTTGGGTGCGTATGTTTCAAGTGTGACTCAAATAGTCAAATTTGAAAAGGGAACAAGTGGTTTTTATTAAACGACATGAAAAAATAGGTAGGAGTGCGGACGTCCCTGTTGGTGTAGAAGATTTAAATATGAGTTAAGGATAAAAGGAGGGAAGGAAGCCAGAAAAGGAAAAAAAACAAGGAAAGAAAGGAAGAAAACAATGAGGGAATCAAGAGGAAACAAAGTAAAGCCAGGGAAGGAAGAAAAGTTACGTTGGGGGGAAACAATTATGTAAAGATGTAAGGAGAGGAGAGAAGAAGGACATAAGGAATACAAGGAATGACAGAAGGCAGGAATCAAGCAAAGACAGGAGGGGTATATGCAAGACCAGCGGGAAGGACATAAAGTAGAAAAGAGGAAGAAAGGAAGACTTAATAGAAACAATGAAAGAATGAGAACAGAGAAATGATGGATGAAAGGATAAACATTGATCAAAAAGTAAAGGATTCTAGAAATCCTAATATTTACTGATACTTTTGTTTTGTTTTCTTCACACCCATCCAGACCTTAAAGCCCTGAAATCAACCTGCCACCTCTTCCATCCCACACAGCAAACCCAGACCCAGCCTGGTCAGAAAGAATTTCTCTATGGGTCACAGAGAAGAACCTACCTGTACTCTCTGGTCCTGAGCGAGTACAGTTTACACGTGCAGCCCATGGCGATGACCAGCAGCAGTCCGCAGATGAGGCTGCCCACCGTTGCCGCGGTGATGACCTTGCGAGGAAGCATGACGGTGCAGTCGAGCTCGTCGGTGCCGTCTTTACAGTCCACCTGGCCGTCGCAGCGCCAGCTCTCGAACACACACCTGCAGCGGGGACAAAGGGCTGAGTGTTATCAAAGTATGCAGCAGAAACATTGCTGAGAGATTTCTCCTCCATGTGCGCGGCGGGCCTCAACAGCATTAGAGAGGAGCTGACTTACCTAATCTACCATTTTTCATTTATACAACCCTGTTTATAAACTGAAAGCAGGTCAATAAATCCTCACGTCACATTTCTTCTCTTTAAAGTGACGACATTAGGTGGTTTTGATTTTAATCTTCATCATAAGGCAACCTTTGCTTTCAACCATATTTATGATTGCTTTACAACTAGCCAATCTGCAGCGCTGCCCGTCTATAAAATAAAAGGAAGGGAGACGAAACAGAAACTAATTTTTAATCAAGAAAAGTGCCTAAAAATCAAATATTTTCAGTTTTCAAAATTGAAGCAACCCATGTCAGTCCATTTTAAGCCTTGTTTCCAGAGATCCGCCGAATAAAATTGAGCCTGATTGGCCCTGATCTGTGAACCATCGATCTGCACCTAACAGTTGGATGACTGACACTAGCAGGCTGTCTTCTTACTCACTTCTATTACTGAGAGAAGCCTTCTATTATAATTGTGCTCAACACTTACATAAGAGCCTGAGGATAGTTTAATGTGTAACCAGAATAATTATGTTGTTTAGTTTGTCTCTCTCACACAGTTTGAGACTCACATATAGTCCTTATTCTGCTAAACGCTGAATTATAGTTAGACTAAATGAAGTAAAAGATGTAACAATCCAACATTTTAACCGTAAATATAATTATGGCATAATAATTTATTTAATACCGTATTATTTTTCCTAAATGAGTGAAGAAAAAAAAATTTTTCAATTCACTAATATGAGATAAGGATACAACATGTTGAAGTTATTTTATCCAGAAAACAGATAAAAAGTGTAGCTTGTTATTTATAGTTTTTAAATAGATCCTAATTTGCAATGACAGGTTATTTCTGTACAAACGTTTCTATTTGAAAATGGCAAAAAACTCTCTGATGGATCATTTTAACAAACTAAAATCTGCAAAAAAATAGATATATATCAAAGAGATGTCAAAAAGCCAGAACCTGCAGAAAGTGACATCTTTTAACACGTTGCCATGTTTGTTTTTAAGGCAGTGTATAAATGGTAACTGACCGATTGCTGTCACAATGGAAGGTCCCAGGCTGACAGACGCTGCAGTCCTTCTCGTCGCTACCGTCTGTGCAATACAGCTGGTAGTTGCACCGCTCCGTCACCGGGTAACACACCGGCGTGCCTGTGTAGCGCCTGGACGCCACCGCCCCCTGTGTCATCAGCCCGCATGCAAACTGGTTCTCGCTGCAGCCTCTGCACCCCAGCTCATCCCTCCCGGTCTCAGGGCAGTCCCACTTCCCATCGCAGCGTTGCTCCTTGGTGAAGCAGCCCCCTGATGATCCCCCGCACCGAGTCTCCGACGGTGGGCAGTAGTTGCCCACGTGGAAGGTGGCTTTAAAACCGGTCACCATGGAGTCGGCAGCTTTGTCAAAAACCAGTGACATGAGCCCGGTGTGGGACTCTACTTTGACAGATTTGCCATTGAAAACACTGGTGATCTGTAGAAATGCAAAAAGATGTATCAGTAGATTAAAAAGAAAAAAGGCGTGAGCTCCTAGAAAAGGATCTGTGACGTAAACTCACATTTTTGATGGCTTCTCCTTTGCCCTCCCCTTGGTTGTAGACAGTGATTCTGTCAAATTGGCCCAGCATAATGCGATGCAGGTCGAGTCTCAGCGGCCTGGGGTCCTCGGGGTCCAGGGTCCAGATACAGGTCATTGTGCCAAAAACAGACGACGGAGCTGCAAAGGTCCCATAAAAGGTCTGAAAAAGGCCTCCGCAGGGCCACTCAATGGGAGTAGGTGTGACAGCAAGCTCTTTCTGAGTGGGCTGGTCCCTGGGCCGTGGCCACGTTTCAGGGAAGGTGTACCGCTCCGTAGATCTGACCCAGCTTTTGTCATTGGTCCTGCTGTTGTCAGAGTCCAGGCCTGTGATTCTGTCCGTGTAACTCACAGGTTTAACTTCTGGGTAGTCCACATAATCGTCACAGCCCACCTCATCTAAGCCGCTGTGGAGGCCGTCACCGAGACACTCCACCTGCCCGTTACAGCGCCAGGAGAGTGGGAGGCACCGACCTTCGGGGCATTGGAACGACGTGTCTGGGCAGTCCCCTGAGTCTGAAGGTTAAACATGCATTAATAATTAGAACATATATACTGTGACCTTAAGATACGAAAACCTGAGTGCCCCACCGCCGTACCTCTGGCGTAGCTTAGGATAAATAATGATACAGGGAACTCTTGGGGAGAGAAGTGGTGCATCAGGGTTATATTTCCCCCTGGAAACTCCAGCGGCTGAGGCAGCTTGCTGCCACAGAGGACATGCGGCTCTCCTCCAACCGATGATTTTATAGACAAGTATTCTTTTTCGCATCGCACAGAGAACTGAGAAAAGCTGAGGAAATATGTGGAAAGAGAAAAACAGAAATTATCAGTCAGCTCCATAACCTGCAGTAGAGATACATTTTCTTTTAACATTTACTCAAAAGAAAATATCAAATTCTATGGAAAAAAGAAAACATGGCTTCATGATTGATGTTATCACATGTAACTAAAACAGATTTTAAAATCAAATCTTTCTCATCCAAGCCACAAACAAAATCTAATGTCTAAATATATTAACACATTAAAAGTTCACTATTTTTCAATAATTAAGTTTGAAAAAGTGAAGCTCCGACGGATTGGTCAAACTCACAGAGACACATATTTCAGGTTAAATACCAAAAATAAATAAACAATACATTTCAGTTCTTATTTTGAACATAGGAGCAGTACTTTATAGTTGTGTTTTACACCAGCTGCACAGCTTTACAGAGACGCTGATTTATTTTCCAGCAGGACGGGAATAGAAATGTAAGATCCATCACTCTGCATCCCTGAATCTATATAATATATTGGCTTTATGCTTTTATTAGATTCAGATATATTAGCAATTTTCAGTGATGTTCTAATGTATGTATTCATTTATTTTTAACGTGAGCTTGGATAATTATTGTAACATTTTGTCACATAAAACACAAAAATTATAGTCTTATTGTCCTTATTATCATGTTATTGTTCCTCATGTTCTGTTCACAACAAAAGATTTGATTGAAATCAATCAATTAAAATAAAAGTCAGTGAATAATTATATTACATATAACTAAAAAACATTGAAAATAAAAACAGATGTTTTTTTTCTGCCAAAGTAAAGCAGCTATTTCAACAATATCAGGCGAAATCTTTACTTCACAAATAAATTAAACTTTTCAGCATCTGTACCTGAGAATAATAGGTTCATCCTCCGAACCCTTAATGACCCAGCAGTCAAAGGTATATCCAAAGTGGTAGGACCAGCTGTGGTAGGCAGAACTCCTGATCTCCCCTACTTTACTGTCGATGACCTGAGGAGCGCGGCCACAATGGGCTGGAGAACAGTAAACAACAACAGTTAAAAGAGACAGCACTGCTAAACAAAATAAATCAGAAAGATTCACAAATAGGTTTATAATGATCCAAAAAATCTAGAAAAAAAAAAAATAAAGCAGTTAAATAAAGGGTAGGATTTAATCAGAGTTAATTTTGTATTTCCTTTTTGTATTATTTTATCTCAGTAATGCAGATTCACAAACATGATTTCTTATCCAATTATTATGTTTTTTTTTATTTATTTCATGCTTCATACAGTTTATTGTTCATGCGTTAAAAGTGGAAATCGGAATTCAATTAGAACAAAAAAACCAAGAATATCAAATAATATCTAGCCAAAACATTTATTCTCTTTGAAGTAGTTTAAACTTACAGGAGCAGTCTGCAGGCTCAAAATGACTGCATGCTGAAAAAGGAAACAAAGCAAAAAATGGAACCAGATTAATGGAACCAGAGTAAACAGATAACAGAGAAGCTCTGACTCCTGCATATGAAACACAAACAGAAGCCAACTTCGCTAATGTCACCCACCTGTTATGGAGACGATCAGGAGCGCACATAACGTGTGACTGGCTGTCATTGCTGCACCTCTGCTCTTTGAAAGGCTTTAAAATGGGTTAAAACTATGAAGACTTGGAAGGTTTAAAAGCAAATGTAAAAACAATGTCAGAGAAGTGCCATTTTAGGAGGGGGTGTGTTCAGGAAGACTTCACCTGAAAAGTAGAAGAAAAAGAAAAAATGAATCAGAGGCCTATTTAACCTGATAAAACAAAGTGACAGGGTTACAAATATACAGATTACTACACTAAGATCCATCTTTTACTTTCCCCTAAAGAAAATGTAATCCTTAATACAAAAATTGCTTATTTAGATTATAAGATTGTGCAATTTTGCCATCTTCTGTTAAGCACAAATGAAATGTAATATCATTATTGAACTTCCATCTTTAGAAACCCTCAAAAGCTATTTAAATCAAAATGGTAAGTGACAACACTCAGGTTAATTCAGCTCATCCTACATAAAATGGAGTTTACAAAGCTAAAGGAAAAGGTTGTGAAAATAAAATGAATGCATCTTTGCAAAAGCTTAGAATAAGATTGGTCAGAACATGTTTTAAAATTGTATTAAGCTGTTCTGATCCTTTATGATCTACTTTCTTTATATATCCAACACCTCTTTACACATGTTCCAAAATAGTAACAGCAAACAGAGGACAACTCGGGACCATGATATAATAAGGTGTTTTCAGATAATACTGGACTAAGCTATGCTACAGCAATGTACCAAATGTAGGGAAAACAAGGAAGGCTGCTATTTTTCCAAGCACTAAAAGATCCGTTTATCCACCAGGAGCTTGTAAAAGGAATTATAATAATGAAAAAACTGATGTATCATATAAAGACTCCAAAGAGTTAAAAAAAATACAGGTATCTCCAAGGGAATAACAAAAAAAAAAAAATAAATCCATTTCAGTTTAGCATTATGCTGAGTAAAAGATGCATTAAGGTATTTGATTTAACTTGACACGGCCATTTTTAAAATACTAATAGGGCTGCGAGAAAACAAATGTGTAATATTGCAGTTTTATTGTTAATTATCATCATGGGGTTATCAACTGTGATTAACCCACCATTTTCCTCAATATTCCGTTTCATCATCACAAAGTTGCATAATGCATGACTCTTAACATCATGATAAATAAAAGCGACTATTAGCAAAAGGCAGTTAATGGCGACTGACATATTATACTCCAAAATATATATTTACATTCACACATCACAATACTTTTTTAAATGCAATAAACATTTTAGATAATTATCCTAATATAAGTTCAAACTAACATTCAAGTTTACAAGAAAGTAGCTATTTCATTACAAATTGAAAGAATGAATTAAAGCAATCTTTAAAAATAAAAAGTTATATTTATTAAAGCAGTTATTAATAATAATAGTGACATTCATTTTTTAAAAAGTTGCCATAAACAAAACGCACCATTTGTTTTAGCATTGTGGTGCATTACAGATTACAAGTGGCGAATAATGACAATACATTCATGTGGAAAACCCACTAACAACACTAAATAACACTGCAAAATGCTTCAGAATAAGTAAAGAATAATGCAACTCAAAGTTGTTACTACTTGTTTTTTATTTTTTTTTATTTTTGTATCTATTTATTTCTGTAGAGAATAAGCCCTATGGGATGAAGCATCTCATTTGCAAGGCTGTCCTCACAAATATACAACAAAAAAGGTCAGATACAGTAGAGCAAACCAAATAATATATGAAATAATACTCATAGACACTCACTCATTCTACGGAAGAGGACTAGGGCCACTCAAACAATAAAAAAAGTTAACTGATTTTAAAATATTATTTTAGTTTAATATAGGAAACTAGTCAGAATTCTGACTTCAACCTCTGAATTCCTTCTGATTTCAGAATTCTGACTTTAATCTCAGAACTATGACTGAATTCTGACAGCTAACAAACATGTTAGCATCAAGTCGTAGCCTTGTCTAAATTAGCTCTCTTGTGTTAATCACCTTCTGCTCATGCACTAATGACATGGCATGACCAGAGATCCCTCGGGCACGTAAAAAAAACGCCTAATTCCGTCATTTTCCACCAATGTGTCACTGGCCCTCTCAAAAAACTCACACCTTTGTCAGTGAAGCTGAGTGCTCCCATATTTCTTCATTCATGGTGCCCATCTAAATTAATTGGGGTTTTTTTTTTCCAGTGGGCCTAATCCTCTTCCATACTCATTCACTCAACTACCAACTAGATAAAAAAAAAAAAATTACAAGGCTTATTTAAATGTTGATAAAGATATTTTTTTGAATGCGGCTGCTGAACTTAAGGGACAAATAAATAAAGGGAGATAGGAGTTTATATTTGAATGAAACTATTTTCCATTTCTTTTATTACTCTATGGATAACAATTTTTTTTTCTATCTTATAAATTAGATGGACATGTATTGTCTGTTTAATTGAAAACAAATAAAAATGTATCAATAGTATAACTGGAAGCTGAAAGTCTAAGAGAAGTAAAAAAAAAAAAAAAACTGTGATTATACGGTGTTAATCACACTTTTGGTTTATTTAGGGAGAAATACATTTTGTAAACAATGCTTCTTTCCTAGTAACAACCCATTTTCATTCAGATTAATAACTCAATATCTGTCCGACTTTCTGTTAACAGTGTTTATGGTATAAACAACAAAACACAATAGTTTTCCTGGCACACGGGAAGGTGTGGTTATTTTTATCTCGTTAGCAAGCCAGACACAGCGATTTCCTTCCTATGATCTTCATGACAACATCGATATAAAACAGGACTACCATTTCTGAAAATAAACCTAACAACCTCTACATCTATTTATACAGTAGAGTTAACTTCTGTCTGCTCACAGTTAATTTCCTACTGACATGTATTTGTTATTGAACAAGGCTTTTTCCCATGAGGCGAGATTAAAACAACAGTTTCGGTTTGAAGGATTAGCAAGCTAGCTTCTAGCAGCCTCAGTTTTTTTTTCTTTAGAGCTCGATTAACCGAAGTAATATCTCACCAAACAGAGAGACGGATATTGAAAATTGGACACGTAACTTTTAAATACCCAAACAAATTACAACATGTAGGTCGGAATCGGTAGTGACGATGTTAAAATACAAACAAAATAGCAGGGAAAGAGTACCTTACCGAGCTGTCGGCCTTTCTTGTTGTCAAGTTCGAGAGCTACTTCCTGTTAGGCGGCTCGTGACGGGGTGGGCGGGGCTTGTGACGCACGTTCTTTTCACACTGGCCGCCGGTTCTCACGAGAACGCGTGTCCGTACTCGCGTTCTCGTGAATTGAGAAACGGCCAGTAGTGTCTCCATTTTCAGTTCTTAAAAACATACACGCGGTGTATTCATTCAGATTTGTATTAACTATTTTTTTTTCCTTTTCCAAAAACTCTACTGTTTTCAACACAACAGTATATTGCAGACTGGTTAAAGAGGCTGAGAAAGTTGAAATGTTCTACTTTTACCACTAGATGTCACTGTTAGCTGGAATAAAGTTGCTGAACTTTTCATTCATAGAAATTATTGGTACTGTAAAACGAGAAAATAAAAGCATTATCTTAGTTTTCCTATAACTACAGAAATCAAACAAAATACAATATATTAATTTATATACTATATAATATTTTTTTTATTTCTAAAGTCCTTTTTCTCTGCGTTAGTAGTAAAAAAATTGACTGCTGTCCTGTTACACAAATTAGAAACATCAATATCATTAACTACAGTATGATCAGGTAAATAAAAATAAAGGTCAAATAAGCTAATAAACAAATAAGCTAATTTAGAGTGGTTCTGGGGAGAGTTTAATAAGGCTTGGGAATTAGGTTGTTGATATTTTTTAGTTATACTTTCTTATCAGGAAGCAGCACTAAACAGTTATAAAAAAGAAGGTGATATATGATTTTACTTTAAAATGCAAATGATATATGCTTTTTATCTCATTTTGTGGTCAAATCAGAGGAGAAAAAGTTAGAATGAAGGTTTAATTTACTTTTTAAAAGTAACAACAAAAACCTTCCTTAAAATGCCACCTTAGCGTTGTGGAGTGGTTTCAGCTTTTAATGATTCCAGAGGCTATGTTGTTAGGGGCTTTAATGCCCCTGGTAGGGTATCCCAAGGCAAACAGTCTTTGAGGGAGGGGTTAGACAAAGAGCTGTTCAAAAGCCTCCATGATGACAAAGAAATCAAGGCACGTGGCTGGGGTTTAGCTGGCAAGCGCCTGGTGGTCAGGTTCTTGCTTGCAGGTCCCGGCCGGGGAACCATTAAGGACCGGTGTAGAGAGGAGTGTGCAGCAGCCAAAGGTGGAGGCTTGATGACCTGTTCCGCGGATGCTTAATCTGGCTCTGGGGACGTGGAATGTCACCTCTCTGGAGGGGAGGAGTCTGAGCTTGAGTGGGAGGTGGAGCGACAGCAGCTAGAAAGAGTTACATGGGAAACACACATAGCATGGGCTCTGGGACCCAGCTTTTTCAGAGAGGCTGGATTACCTTCTGCTATAGTGTGGACCACGGGGAGAGGTGGAGGTCAGGGGTGGGTCTACTTGTCTCCCCCAGCTCAGCCATCCTGTGATGGAGTTTAGCCCGGTGGACGAGAGGGTTACATCCCTTCACCTTCGGGTAGGGGGCAGGTCTCTGTCTCAGCCTAAGGGCCTGCTACATCAGTCTCAGGTATTAATTGTATTCCTGGGGGGGCTGTTGGATAGTGCCCCTCCTGATGAGTCCATCATTCTGCTGGGAGACTTCAACGGCTATGTGGATAACAACAGTGAATCCTGGAGGGGTGTGATCTGGATGAACGACCCCCCCAGCTCTGAACCCGAATGCTGTGTCATTATTGGACATTTGTGCAAGTCACAGATGTCCATCATGTGCGCCATGTTCAAGCATGAGGATGTCTACTGGTGCAATTGGCACTAGAACACCCTCCTGTAAAGTTCACCGATCAACTTTGTTGTTGTATCTTCTCACATTGTCTTGTCTCACCTGGTGGGGAGCTGAATGCACTGGAGGAGGAGAAAGCCGGTCAGACTTGGCAGGCCCAAAGAAATAGTGAGGGTCTGCCGGGAACTTTTGGTGGAGCCCTCAATCAGGGACATGCTCAACTGCCATCTCTGGAAGAGCTATTCCCAGATACTGTGGAGGCTGGAGCCATGGAGTCTTATTGGGCAATGTCCACTGCCTCCATTGTCGATGTGGCCACCTGGAGCTGTGGCCATAAGGTGGACCAGCTCTACAGTTTCTACAGAGTACTTGAGGGTCCATGGGTGATTGTCAACATATATGTTTGTGTTGACACGGAGAAGGTATTCAACCGCCTCCCTCATGATGTCCTGTTGGGGAGTATGGAGTCAGGGGCCTTTTTAAGTCCCATCCGGTTTCTGTAGAAGCAGAGCAGAAGCTTGGTTCGCATTAAGTCAGATCTGCTCCTGGTCCATGTTGGACTCCAACAGTGCTGGCCTCAGTCACCAATCCTGTTCATAACCTTTATGGACAGGATTTCTAGTTGTAGTCAAGGGCCAGAGGGGATCTGGTTTGGGGGCCAGAGTGGAATTCATCTATGCTTTTTGCAGATTACTTGGTTCTGCTGTCTCCCTCCTGCCAAGACCTACAGTATGCACTGGGGTGGTTCACAACCAAGTGTGAAACGACCAGGACAAGAATAAGTTCCTCCAAGTACGGGCCATGATTCTAACTGTGAAAAAGGTGGTTTGTCCCCTTCAGGTTGGAGGAGAATCCCTGCCTTAAATGGGGTCTTTCTCACAAGTGAGGGAAGGATGGAGCGAGAGTTTGATATACTGATCGGTGAGGCTACTATAATGTGAAAGAAAGAAGTTTTGGTGAAGATGGTAATCAATGGTCGTCAAATCTGGAATACGACCAAAAGAACAAGATCCCGGACACAAGCAGCTGAAATTAGCTTTCTCTGAAGGGTTGCTAGGCACTCCCTTGGAGATATTGTGAGGAGCTCAGTAATTCGGGAGAGGGTCGGAGTAGAGCCACTTCTCCACATCAAGAGGAGTCAGCTAAGATGGCTCAAACATCTTTTTCAGATGTTCCTAAGACTCCTCCCTGGGAAGGTGTTCAAGGCACGTCCCACCAGGAAGAGACCTTGAGAATGATCCAGGAGACGATGGAGGGACTATGTCTCTCGGCTGGTCTGGGAGCACCTTGGGCTGAAGGAGATGTCCACAGGGAGGGAAGTCTGGGAGTCTCTGCTGAGGCTGCTGAGGCTCATGCCCCATTAGCCACATCCTGGATGAAATGGGAGATAAGGAGTACTAGTACAACAAAAGTAAACTTTAAAGAAAATTGAAACTCGACCATTTTTCTCCTATTTTGACACCACTCATGCTTCCCTTTATGGCTGGTATAATCAATCAGATTAAATGTGAATAGTTGACTGTTGAAATAATTGTCAACTAATTTGATAATTGAATGGAATCCTAGAGAGAAAGACTCCAGGCACAAGGGTTGCACCATACTAATACGTAAAACTATACATTACTATTTTAGATAAAAGGGGAATAACAAATTGCAAACAATTAAAGGCATCAAAACATTTTTAATACCATTGAAAACTCACCTTATCCAATCTTAGCATGGAC